AATAAGGGAGGCGAAAAAAGGCTCAATAGAAAATCAAATACGGGTTCAAACACGATCTGATTATATATATATATATATATATATGCATATAACGATGAAAATATTTGACTAAAAAAATGCATATTGGTATATGAAGACCATTTCTGTTAAGTTATTGATTGGATTGAGCCACCAATAATTATTGCAAGGGTTTCTCACTGAACGTGTTGATTGAATTCTAAGAATACCCAATAAATGTTACTCAATAAACAATTTTCCTTACATTTATATATATATATATATTCGATTGCTTTGCGTTGCTAGCAAACGTTACTTGAAGCCTTAAGTTTCCGAATTGCAATAGTGCATGCGTTCTTTTCACGGGGTAGGGTTGCTATCCTCACTCTCGACTTTCCCTTTTTCCAGACCTACTACCGGCTAGATAGGGTTTTAGAAATTTGGTCGGCTAGGACCACATTTGTAACTGGCGGGTACCCTACTCCAGAACCACTCCCGCACAATTTCACTTACATATAGTCGCCAGTGTATTGTGCTGGGGCCCATAACACTTTGTCATCACGAAAACCTTGATTAGGTTAACAATATTTTAACCAGTGATCCAGTAGTTGGTAGGTGAAAAATTGCCTCAACCCAATGAATGGCAGATTCATAAATTCTATTCGAAGTATGAAAATGTGCTTTTTTGTCCGTATTCAACTGTCAGTCAAATATTCTGTTATTTATAAAAATTGAAGTGGATTAAATGAGACCTTGTGCACAATTCATATCTGTCTGTCAATCTTTACTTTTGGAAATCATCTTTTCCCGGAATTTCAGTAATCATAATCACTTCTTTTTGTCCTATAGCCTCGTTTCGTATGTAATGATTATTATTTGTTTCTTGAGTTCCAAGTAGAACATAGGGCTTCAGCAGGATAACTCCACTGTATTCTATTTTCTGTTGTCATTTTCACCTGATTTCAGATCTACTCACTCACCTTCACTTCCTCTTCGTATAATCTCCTGCACATCACTTCCATACGCTCAACCTGTCGCTTCTATTCGGGTTCTACCTGAAGCCCAGGCATGAAACCTCACTGGAAGGTTTTTCCGGCGTATATCTAATCCACCTCTATTTCCTTCTGAACCATATAGAATCACTGATTTGACATCAGTGTAGAAAATTCCAAGTCTTTGTTCTTGTGTTAAATACTGTTGATCTCCAAACTAAATTTCAGAGTAACTTTTACTTATTCTATGGTATATACTTTAGCTATATTTGTTTATGAATAAATGTTTGATAAAACATGCCAAAAGGCTTTTTATTACCTATGTAAATACAAATGAACAGAGGTTATAGATTCCTATCTGAATCCAATTTGTGTATCTTACTGCTGAAGTCAAAAATATCGTTACTGTACCGTTACCTTCATTTTTATATTCAGTTAGGATTAATTTGGATTTCACAATTTACCAATTATAAACATATTAACTTAGTGTTGCATTTTTTTCTCGCGTGGTGTTTTCAATTAACTCCAATCTGTGTAGCATTGGCAATCATAGAGGCCGATTCAGGTTTGTTGTTGAAATGTTATGGTGTTAAAGAAACAATATGTATTCAAACTCCATCTATGCAGATAAATATGCCCACTGAAGAACGAAATTAATCACAAGTATAAGCAATAGGATGATAATGTCTTTCACTTGTTGCATGTATTTCATTATAAGTCTCAAAATGACTGATCAATAATGCATGTGTTTTAAGTGTTTGTCTAAAATCGTGATTGCTTACTCTTCATAATTTATCCATAAAACTCAGTTTTTTATTGATTACCTGTTTTGGAAATTGTTTAGTACATTTAAATACAAAATGCGTTGAGTTTTAGTCTTGTATTTTGTTTCTCTCAAAGTATGAGCAAGCTGTATTATTACTCGTAGCGTTTGACGAAAGATAATGATAAGTCTATGACAATTTATCTACTAAAGCAGTTGAGACATGTGGTGCACATATGAATGAATCACCCACTTCAACACGCACTGTTAACTGGGACAGGATAACTTTCACGAAACTCTTGGAGTGACGGGTGCATAAAAGTTCTTGATACCGACTAAGATAGCAAACAATCATTCATTTCGTCTACAAGGATTTGTGAACCTTCATCGGTTAGAGCAATTTAGCCCAAACGGTTATATTAGTATTATTATTGTTCCCTTGTGTTCCGAGTTGAAAATAGAGCTTCAGCAGCACATCTCCACTTTGTCCTGTTCCCCACGGTCCTCTTTATCTGACCTCACGATTGCCCATAGCCTCTCTTCCCATCCCCATACAATCTCCTCCATGTCACCCTCAGACGTCCCAATCGTCTTTTCCCATTCAGGTCCTGCTCGACAGATGGCCTGGCGCGCGATGTCCTTTGACGATCTCCTCCGCGTGTGTCCAATCAATCACCATTTCCTTCGTCATATTTGTTGAGCGATAGGTTCTTGGTTGGTTTGTTCCCGTGGTTTCTTGTAGCTAATTCTTTATGGCCATTTGATCTTCAATATACAGCCAGGGAAGGCAGCTGTCGGCTGCTGGAAATGCTTTCTGCGGCGCACTAGCCAAGTTTCTGAGCCATATAGAAGAGGTGACGGACTTGACATTGGTGTTGAATATCCGAATCTTGTTTTTTATTCTGTGGAGTGTAGAAGATTTCCAAACTGATTTCAGGTTGATGAAGGTGTATCTTGCCTTTCGGATTCTGGCTGGCTGACTGGCTTTGAACATCTTCATCCGTCCCGCCTGTAGTTGAAACGATGCTTGCTTTGATAGTGATCGGTGCTGTTTGTTGTTATTGTTTGGTTGGTTATCTTCAACACCTCCGTCTTCTCTTAGTTCACTTGAAGTTCTGTCCTTGCTGCCTGACTCTTCTACGAGTTTTTTGGTTTTCGCCCAAATGGTTGGTGTTATCAAAATATCACATGTTAGAACTCGCGGGAGAGTTAGTCATATGATGAACACCTCAATTTCACTGGTGCAAGCATGATTCACACCATGATACGTAAACATGGTTTCTTAAAATTCGTTTTAAAGATTGTCTCACTGTTTATTTTGGTGTCAATGACTTTCTTGATGTTATCTACCTGCATCCTTGCGAAATGTAATCACCTAAACTGTCACTTTTATATGAAATTCTTTGTTAGATGTCGTACAGAAGCAAAATCTGCGTGGGAATTAGAATTTATCTCTGAAAATCTCAGACCTTTTAAAAATTTTTTTCTACAACCTTAACGTATATAACCTCTGGAAACCTTAGTGGAATTGAGCAGTTGTTTTTGATACCGTAACGTCCATCGATAACTGTTTGTTGATTCAAACCTCTATGGCTATCATCATTCCTTAAATTAATCACGTCACTATTTTGGTAAATCTGTTGAAAATGAATTCATTTTTTTCTATTATTTAAAGGTGTGTTACATTTGTGCTTGCAAAATCAGACTGGCTGGTTTTAGGATAGAACTTTTCACAGGAGTGCGGCAGTTCAAGTCGCCACACTCCATGTAGCACACAAAGGTAGACAAAATAGACAAGAAAAGGGATTAAAAATGACAATATAGTCAGAAATGTGAGGGAGAGAGAATGGCAACATGGATTTGGTGGATATGACAGAGCACAGAGTGAACACAAATGCCGCATTGAGAACAGTTTTGAACCATATCATCAATAGTCTCCACTCATTGGTCATTAGGATCCTGAGAACCCAACCAGACAGTCTATACCTCTCTGTGTGGCTCAGACTAACTGTTAACGATTCTGCGGACTGATGTTATGTTTTAGACTGACCACTACTAGCTCTTTTTCAACCTAATCCTATGTCGGTAAACAGTGCCTGATGAGGAAGGTAATGGCTAGGCATGCGTAACGTATATCCTATCCATTTCAATCGATGTAGCTTCACAACCTCATTGATTGACTTTCTCTCCTTAGCTAACAGTCGACGCCTAACCTCAATATTACTCATCGTATTATACCACCTAACACGGAAGATAGAACGCAGACACCTATGATCAAAGCCTTATCATGTCTTCAATTTCCAATGGCGACGTCTCACAGACTTAATGGAAAACAGAGCAAACTGCTGTAGTACTGTACAGCCTTCCTTCGATTTCATGCCAACTTCTATGATTTACACTTAGTTTTGCTTGTCATCGGTGTGAATTCACCATACAATGAAATTATACCAAAGCAGTAATAAATGTGAAGGATTTTAATTGGATATCCCAGTGGACTACTGTTTCTGCTATGTTGTGTCTGTCCATCTATCTTAGAATATACAAATATGTATTGCAACGGTTCATTCTTTGATTGGACACTAGTTATCCAGTAGTGTAATGTGTCTAGTCCTTTGTTTGGTAGAGACTGAATTCTATCAGTTAAGTTTGCAATGTGGCCACCATTTTAGGTGGCTCACCATCACGGTGCACTTTGAATTTTTGATAGTAGATGGTTAGAGGCAATCGGCAGGAAGCCTTAGCCCTATGTTTCGTGCTATTTGGCACTAACTATTGTCCAGTCAAAGCATCCAATGCAGTCCTACCGGAGGTCAATCACTAGCCGGATCCTCTCAGTGGGTGAAGGCTCTGATTGCAGCATTGGGTGATAAGGGTTCGAATCTCAGAAGGGACATGAGTTCCTTTGAGGTCTCAGATACGCCTTGCTGACAAGTGCCAATTAGCCCGAAGCCTACGTCTCAAGGCTTCTTGCTTATTGCCTCCAGTCATCTAATAACAGTTCACTCGGATAATTTAATCTTTGTTACATTCAAGATATCTCAGGTGTTGTTTACGGAACACGTGAATGAGTTTAGTTGTAGAATTTCATGTTCGAGGAAAGTGATTGTATTGATCCACCAACTATTTGCTTTTCGTGTTACTCACCTTGTAGTATCAGAAGTCAGGTTAATACTTAAGTCTTTTTAACACTGTGAAGTTGTCTTGTAATCTTCTAAACTAAAAATTATTGCTTTTTTGTTTTTTTACAGCTGATGGTCAGTCATCTGGAAGCTCTGATAGTTCACGAATGTCCATCTCTTCAACACGTCGTAATCAAAGAGATCGTCTTGGCAGTGTTATCAGTGAACAGTCCAGTCGATATAATGTCAATATGAATAGTACTCCAGAAGAGTTGTTGATAAATCAACATGTCTCGGGCATAAAACACCTGCCTGAGAGATCACAACAAATCGATCTTTCTAAGTGTACTGTGCATATACGTGGTTTATCACGACCTGAAGTATCACAATCAACTCGTCTTCCAGTGGGGACAATGACTTTATTGGGTAGTACTCCACTTATGTCCAGTGTTTCTGCTACTACCGCCACTACTATGAATGCTACTATATCACATACTAATCAAATTAATCATTTACCCTCATCAATGAGTAATTCTATTCCAATCAATAATAACTCTCTGACAAGTAGTAATTTTATTCCCGTATCGACAACAGCTGTACGTGATGTAGGCTATAAAAATAAAATATCAAATGAATTGAACAATTTGACTGGTCCACCTGTATTGACACAGTCTACCGTTACGAACAGTACCAATTCAATGCCACAACTGTCACCACAGTTTATGTTCAATGTTATTACTGAAACTGTTATCAATGGTGTACGAAGACAAGTTGCTAGAGTGACACGGTGAGTATTCACTTCTTGTATGACTCAATAATATATATATGTTTAAATTCCTACCCTTATTGTCTTGTAGATCGACTAATCCATGTTTAAAGGTGACTGCTTGAGAATATTTTTGACTATTGATTCGCCTCCCATAATATTGTTCACTTTTGTCTCAATGTACTCCCAGTTCAAAAGTTCCTTCTAATCTAAAGAAATATAATGGCATATAGTAGAATCAGTCTGTCTGATCTCAATGATACTTTGTGTGTCGCCCATCTCGGCTACAAAATACTTGAATTTCACCACATCTTTCTAAAGGACATATATACCGTTGTGATTTGCTGCTAAGGTGCTGTCACTTTGATTAACTCTTCCAAGTTGAAAATCCCTGACTGAAGAAAATTCTGACCAATCGAATGATGAAAAAGCATAAGTCATTGATTAACTCACTGAGTGAAGTTATCCATCAATGCGTACTTTGCGTCGACATGTGATTTTTTCGTTTCAGAAAAATTCAGTATATTATTTTTAGAATTATTTATTATTGCATGGAGGGTTTCATCATGAGCTGACATCAGTTTATTTATTATTATTATCTTCCAAGTTTACTAAAGCTGATGTTCACTACTGACTGGCTACAGGGTGAAGTTGCCTATAGTTCTAGTGAGAATTCGTGACCAGTGGGATCACCACGTCTGATATGAAGAGAAAATACTCGTCCCCTGACATTGGTTGGTGATGGAGCTAAAAATCGCGAATTGACAGAAGTTAGAGTTCATGGGCCATTGGATTCTGCCCCAGTGGCTGAATGTTCGATGAGCTCACCTCATAATCTGAAGCTCTTCGGTTCAATTCCCTGTGGAGTCATGTGCGTGTGCTGATGAAGAGTTCCGAATTAGGGAGAAACGACTTTCCATATCCCATGGTTTTCAACGGCTCTCTAACTGATATCAATCCGTGATCGAACTTGCAACCAATCGAATTCCCACGAAGTAATACTTGAAAATTATTATCTTTATTCAAACTGAATGTACCGGTTGAATCAAAGGGGGGATTGATCTTGACTTATGATTGACAGTTCATGGCATGTTACTAAACTGTCAAAATATACTAAAGTGTCAAAAGATTGATTACTGATGAAAGAATATTCGTTTCGACAACTGCATTATCAGATTCTACAGTTATATATCCATCCATAATAATGAAAGAATGATTGTTGTTTACAACGTTAGTGTTTTTTAAAGGTAACATCAATCATTTAAATCAGAATTCCGAAAGTTATTTGCGAATAGATTTTTAATGGATTATAGTCCAAAACATATATATGTATGTGGTATTATGCATAGTTGTGCGTATAATACTAAACTGAATATCAGTATCACATAGTAAATCATTATGAATGATAACGAATGTATAGCAATAAATTCTCATGAGTCATGTTCACATTTTAAATTCTATTCATACTGATTATAAACTTCAAATGAATTAATGATCATGTTAAGGATGGGGGGGGAGGATTAAATTTGGGGTAGATGGTTATGTGCATTGTATGTGTGTCAGTGTGTAAGTTAACAACTACGTTTTAATAAGAAAACCAAAGGTTAGTTAATGCAAGTGTAATGACGAGGGGCACAGGATGGAGGGCCACATAAAAAATGCCAACTTAATAAAGTATTTATGAATTTGCAGACTCCACAGCAGACCAGGGCAGTAGTAGTGGTTGGACCTGTTTCTTCTGTACATGGAGCACCGGTTGTTTTAGGCGAATTGGAATAGCCTCTGCTGTTTGGAGTGTTCGGTACGTGGATGTTTTCCGCAAATTATTTGGTACCGGAAGGATAATAGAAAAGGATTCTTCAGTGCTGGCTTTGAGGCCAGTTTGGACCAGATGGTCTAATGTCTAACTGTTGATGGTTTTCACTACACCTTTAGCCACACTAGTAGATGTTTCCAAGCACGGAAAATGAAGTTCCTAGAGCAACGGCCAATATAACTCGTTTCACAAGCACAGTTGTGTATAACTGTATATACATAATTATAGAACTTGATGATGAAGCTATCGAGAAGAATATTCTTTGTTCAGTAATCAGCCTTTTGAAATTTCTAATGAACATCTTTAATCAATTAAAATGAATGTGTTCAAATTTCAATCCATTCAAAACCCTGTTTTTGAATGACTGGCTATATGCTTATTTTGTCAGCCATAGTTCAGTGAATGAAAGTCTTTTCCAACGAATTAATAACTAAAAACGATAAAGCCACACTTGATTCATGGAGTTGTTGTATCTTATTAATTCTATCATCATTATTATTGTTTATTTCACTGAATAATCTTTTCTCGTCTTTTGTGTTTAGAAAGTATTCAGAATTCTATGTTCTTGAGCAAAAGTTGACTGAATTTCATGGTTCATTTATAACAAAACAATTACCACGGCGTCAGTTGACACCGCGTTCAATGGAGTTTCTTGAAAGTAAATGTGAAGTCTTTGAAAGCTATCTACAGGTACGTAGTCACGTTTTCTTATGCTGTCTCATTAGAAATTTTATTTTTCATTTAACACACACACACACACCACATAGTAATCTTCCTACTGTCTGCTTTTTTTCTTATATCAATGTCTATCCGCCTGATAATGATTAGCTGTTTTAAAGTTATGCTTTTATACTTGCAGTGATTGGTGGTGACATCAGTACTCTGAATTGCATGTTGCGCTGGGTCTGATATTGATACTTAATCCACTCATGTTTGTGAGATCATCACCTGTAAATTTTTATCATAGCCGATATGAAGTATTGTCATCTGATCTAATGGTTGGTAGCACCTAGGATAGATGTCAATATTGAAGAATCCCCACTTCTCAATTAGATCGTCATCTCTGGCTCTACTCTAATATATATATATATATATATATATATATATATATATATATATATATATATATATATATATAGTTCATAATCATATCAATTGTAATCACAGGACTTTGAAACTTGAGTTTTATAGCTTTCTTTGTTTTCTCCTATTTGTCGTAGGGGTAGTAAAATTTTCCAGATATCGGGGACAGGTGATGAATCATTCCTATTACATGTATTTGCAGTGGTTTCGATAAACAAAGCTTCTGTTATCAATCTCTCCCCATACCCTGTGACTTTAGATTTTAAAACTGTCATCCTATCCCATCCTATTGTATGGTTGTGTGTAACTGCATGTAGTGCTATAGCTGAACTATTCTCTAGATTTCTTATCTTATTCGGATCAACCAATCTAGATTTTGCTAAGTTTTTATTTTCAGCTAGTCTGACTGCCCCTGTTCTACTAGTTTGACCTATGTATTTGACCTGACAGTCATTGCAGGGTATTAGATAAACTAAATTGTTTTGTTTTAAAGGCTCCAGTGGATAGATCCTTTAACCGACAAAGCTTGTTATTAATTGAGTTTGTGGGTTTGAATGCCGTTTTTATTCCTGCCTTGTTAAGAATTCTGCGTAAGGCTTCCGAGGTTCCTTCCTTGTATGGAATTACTACTGATGATTTAGATTCCTTATTATTGGTGTCTTCATTAATATTATTATTATCACTATTATTATTATCATCATTGTTATTGTTATTATCACTATCGCTACTATCATTATTTATTTTATTTTTACATTTCCTTACATATTTCCTGACTAATTTATCCGCGTAATTATAAAATTTCAAGGCTTCTTTTATGTGTATCAGTTCCTGTTTTAGATTTTCCTTGGTACTACATAGTTTTTGTGCTCTGTCATTTAAACATTTCACCAATCCTATTTTTACTGACATAGGATGGGATGATCGGAAGTCCAAATATCTGTCTGTAGAAATGGTGACAATAAGTGGATTTTTATAATGCATAATTTTGAAAAAATGAACAGTAATTAAGGAATAAGCGTGAGCTCAAGTTGATTACGTTACAGATCATTAAAGAAAATAAAACGATTTGGACAATGGTAACTTATAATTAAAAATGAAGTAGTCATAAAATCCCGATTAATTTTCTCTGTTAATTATGACTGCTTGCCTTCACATGCTGATATTGATTAATTATTGTCAACATACATATCGCCACTTGATTGGTAAAATGTTGCGAATTTTATTTTTTAAAAAGCTGCCATATATCTTAGAGTAGAATGGATGTGTCAGTTGACCTTTATTTTATATGATAAGCAGTTGGTAACACTTCCATAAGATATTAGAACTTATTAGCGTAAAGTAAAATATTTGGCTGATTAATTCAACGTTCCGCTTTTCAACAAGGTAGTATGAAAAAGCTGTTTGTAAAAAAAAGAACAAGCTAAACATGGTATCTGTCCTAGTGTTCATTGTTAGTGTATTAGTCCATTAAATCTGAAACTTAGCGAGACGTCCGAACAATTGATGTTAATCTACTAATAAGAATAAGCAACTAGTGAAGTATTCCTTTCTTTATTCTTCAGCATTATAGTACATGAGGGGTTTCAAAGCACGGTAGATTCAACATATGAGCTTGCTTATGAAATTCTCTGTTTGATTTCTAACAGAATCTGTTTCGCCATTTTCAACTGTTTCATACTGAATAAAATTAGAAGTGGTACTTGTAGGTGCATACCTTGTTTATGTGATTGTCACGGATGAGCGATGTTCAAGCATACTCCTAAAATGAACGCGGCATTTCTGATGCAATGAGCCATATGTACCAGTGTAACGGTAGAAGACTAAGGACTTATTCAAAGGTTGTTTTTTAGTAAATTAGGTATCTCTATATAACCAAATTATGTACACCTTATCTTCAACGCACCATTTCCACAGATCTTCTGTATTGTGCTACTTCTCGCCTTCATATTGCGTTTATTTGTGCTCCTTTCATTTCTCCCATGTATCTCCACAATGGGGATTTATTTGCTTCCTCTGACATCAAATATATTTCCTTGCTATTCGATGTTTTCATGCCAATGAACATCTCTTTATATATATACTACTGGCAAATCTTGTCAGTAGCACACGCCACACCAGCAAG